CCCAATGAGGTCTCCACCTTTCCTTGAGTGTTGGATTTAGGCTACTTGGGACACGGTGTCAAAAATGACAGGACCCTGAAGCACACACCCAATATTCATTAAAGTTCATTAGTGATTTGTATAGCTGTCTACAAGCTGTACTTCCACTTCAATCCTCAGTGGTTGCTTAAAAGTTAAGTTTGTCCTATGGCTTTCACTGTCAAAGAATTCATTTCCTATTGCGTAGGCACTGAAAAGGGATGCTATTTCTTTCTAGAAGTAACAAGAGTCTTTGGGGTGTTATAAATGACTTATTATTGCAATATATTATTTTAGGTAGTCATAATCTAATTTAATGTTTTATTTCCCTTTAGGCTAACCTGAAATACCGCAGTATCCAAAGGCTATGATTATGCCTTAAGGGATTTTTCCTCAGGAGAACCAGTTAACAGAATGAAAAGCTGGAGCTCCGCTTTGTATCAATTAAGGATGGAGTTTCACTTTTCAGTACACGAAAAGAAATTTTAGGTTCTTGAATTTTAGGTTCTTACTGGTCCTGAATTCAGTGAACATGAGAAGAGACATTTTGTATACGTGAAAAATAATGTGGCTATGCTTTCTTTCTCTCCTCCTATTTATACACAAAGATAAGTACATCTGGATGACAGCAGTGGGGGTAGTCAGTTACTTAAACCATAATTCTTTGACTAGAAGGAGTTCAACTCACTGCTTTCTGCCTGGGTGAAAAGTTCTCAGCATTTCTCTGGACACAGAGGTCCCAACCTTTTCCCAATTCTGACTAAAATATCAGTCAAATTGGCCTCATGTAGGCTTTTTCCCCTTTGTGCCATCTAACTTGTTCACCTATTTTCCTCTTCCTTGTCTATGTGGGGATTGCTAATACCAGTGCTCTTAATGGGCAAGAACAAGGTAATCTCAAGTACCACGATTTCACAGTTCTCAATTGTGTACTTTTGTTTGCTGAAATCTAAAGATCATTGCCCTAATAGCACCATAATTTATTTTGACTAGGGGAGCTAAAGTGTGCAGCTCACTCCCCACCCTGCCTATGGCACAGCCAGTTCACAATTTGCAGGAATGTCATAAAATTGGTACACTATGGTTTCTCCAAAATGATATACTTCAATTGGCAAAAAAGATTGTGTTGTTTGTTCATGTGGCAGGAAGGGGTTACTAAAAGAATGAACTATGGAATGGGATGAATATTATCTGCCTTAAAATATTTCAGAATATAAAATATAATTTTTAAAAATATTTATTTTTTAGTTGTACACAATACCTTTATTTTTGTTTATTTATTTTTATGTGGTGCTGAGGATCAAACCCAGGGCCTCGCACGTGCTGGGCGAGTGCTCTACTGCTGAGCCATAACCCCAACCCTATAAAATATAATTTTTAAACGACATTCATTGTTAGTGATAATACAATCAGGATTTTCTGCAGTATGCACCAACTTTTAATATAAAAGCATTAACCTACTAAAATCAGAACTTCAGGGACATTTTACCAAAGACAGTTGGGGGAATATGAGTATTCTAGCAGAAATATGAGTTTGGTTATTATAAGTCACTGCTAAATAGCATCTGTGCAGTGGAAAAAAAAGTCCCTTGAAATATCCATAGTTTAGGATTGCAAAACAGTATAAGAGGTTAAGAAGAACTGGTAGATTTTCCTTGTAAAGTGGAAAATATTTAACCCTTTCATTTTGTTTCATACGATGAAAACAGTAATTCCTTTAACCACTTTAGTGAATAACTTTTAAATATTAAGTTTTAAAATTTAGTAAATGAACATGAAAGAATGCATTTCAGCTTATTTAAATGTATTGACAATGTTTCCGGGAAAACATTTAACTTTCTCATTTCATGCTTTTATTATCCCCCTTTCCCATATATTTCTCATAAGCTTATGACAGCTTCAATTATTAAAAAATATATTCATAGGCAAACTCAAATATTTTTTGTACCTCTGACGAGTGAGGGTACATGCCTACAACACATTCCCAGTGGCGTTTCTCTAAATATTACTTAGCACATAAGATTCCTCTAGCATTACAAATCTATTTCAGCTCCTAAATTAAAATTCATCTGGAAAAGACCATTTTTCCTTGTTTATATAACATTGTCACATAAAGAGTGTTAAAAAAATATTTCACTAAAAATAGCTTGCGTAAGTTAGGGATTAGAGTAGTTTCTGCTGCTATAATTGTTCCTTTGTAGTTTTTTCCATGATGTTTTTGCACAGTGTTTTTGACTGTGTTTATTAAAGTCAGCACATCAAAAAGGATCAAAGAGAAAGTGAGTGAGAACCAAAGAAACCCCAAGTGTGTTGTCTCATTGGGGAGCTATGCAGATTTGAATAAACAAGTGCAAATTGTTGAGGTTTTAATGAAAATTTTCTACAATTATTTTATCTTAAGTCATTCTATACAATAACATCTGTACAGCAGATGGCCATACTGTACCAAGGCAATGCTCCTTTTTCTTTCTCTGTTTAATAGCACATCTGAGATGACTACTTTTGTCACTGTGCTCAATTGGGTTCAGCAAATAATTTGAAAAGTGCAGCTGCTGCAGATGGTCACAATAGTTATATAAACTGTAAAATCAAAGACACAGTTAAGTATTTCTGTATTAGATTCAAACTATAAAAATCCAACATTAACCCCACTGAGCTCAAAGATATACTATAAAAAATTTTGGTTGAATACAGAACGATGTCACTTGAAAACTACAAAAAGAAATATGACTACTGGTAGGAGATTTGTGTGTGTGCATGTGTGTGTGTGTTGGATACATTTTACCACTTAGCGATACTATACCTTAAAAATATAAATATGTTTGCTTACATTTCATACAAACTTCAAAGCATGAAATTTGAAGATATTCAACTGCACAATAAAATTGTTGTTCAAATATTAAATTATTTTATTTAAAAATATAAATAAAATTAATTTTAAAAAAATGTGTAGTAATCTCTTAATTATAATTTTCCTAGAAATCAGCCTTAAGCAATAGCTAGAACTCAATACAATCTTATTTCACTAAATTATTTTATTTATTTTGCTAACTATGCTATTTTCTTGTTTGAGCATTCTGTCACATAAGGTTGAAATGGAGAAGAATTAGATTTTGGTGTTATGGTCTCAAATTAAAATTTTTACTATTAAATGGCTAACTTCAATTTTTATTTAATTTGACACAAATAATTATTTTAGAATGTTTGCTGGATACTACTCAATAGGGTTGTATAAAATATGTCCTGGTCAAAGCCATAGTTTCTATTTCTGTGTTTAACTAGATTTAAGAACATAATTGTAAGAGGAGAAGGGCTATGTAGTTATTCTAGTACAAAGGGGAGAAAAACAAGTTACAAAAATAGACTATGGCTCAGTGAGAGAAAGATTTTAATTATATTTTAGAGACTAATGTTTACCAAGGATAGATACCATTAAGAGTGGTTAAAATATGAGTAGCAAACAAACTTAAAAGCCATGAGAATGAAAACCAAAAAGGACCTAGAATGGAATACAGTATGTTTAAATTCTTCTACTCTGTTTGAGTTCTAACCTTTTCCCACTATGATTAAGGTAAGACTGGAAAGGCGTGGGAATGGGTCCAGTGTTGTCTGGGTCACAATTTATTTGTGGATAAATTGGACATTGTAGGGTCCAGTGTTTCATAGTCTTTCATGTCCCATGAACCTAACATTTTTCATTTCTAACTTTAAAGACAATAAAAAAAAATAGGGAGCTTTTAGCTGGCTTGGTCACAAATATTTCTGGTGAGAAAGAAATAAATCATCCCTGTTTTGGACTAAAATTCATACTTCTCAACTGCAAAACATTTTATTTTTCTTTATCTTTTAAACTACTGTGCCCAAACTGGCTTTATGGAACAGACTCTAGCTGCCACTTGATTACTTTTTGTAAGCAACTAAACTGCACATAATTTAAGGATTTATTTTATCCCCTGTACTATCGCATAGCCCCCATTTTTTCATCCCTAAATATTAAAATGGAAAAAAGGATAGTTTCCTCTCACTACTTTTACTTTCAGAACAAAATTTCTGGCACTGGGCCCTGAACTTTTACAGTAGCAGTTTCTGTGATTGAAAACTGTTATTTCCCACCTGTGAGTTGCATTTTCTCTTCCTTTCCTCACATTCCTTCTGCCCACCCTTTCTGATTCAGTGTGAAAAAGCACATAACAACTTAGTCATGATAACAGAAGAGAAAAATGTAGATGTCACTGCCAGTTAACTTCTCACCTCTCCACCCCTCAATGACATTCATTTTTCAGGGTCCAGGCCTCTGTGCTCAGCTGGGCACAGAAACACAGCCTTTCCTTGCCAGGTGTTGCAGTCTGATAAAATGCCTCTGCAGCATTCCTGCAAAGCAGAACCTTGGTTTCGATTACACTTTGTGTAGCATATCTGCCACCACGGCAATTTTTCTTTATTAAATAAATTGTTACCAGTGACTTAATACAGCACATCAGAATCACCTGTAGGATTTATTGAGACAGACTACTAGGCTCCATTCCCAGAGTGGCTGATTTGGTAGGTCGGGGGCAGGGTCTGAGAATATGCATTGCCAAGAAAGTCCTGGGAGATGCTGATGGTTCCGAGATCATGTTTTGAGAACCACTTTTCTAGTGGTTCACAAAACTTGATGCTCTGTTGTCCCACCATAGCTATTTTAGGTGAAAAGAAAATAGGAATTAACAGTTTTAAAACATCTGTAGGAATGTGCCTAAAGAGGTGGATAGAACAGTTTAGTTTAGTTTAGGGCATTAAAATACCTAGGCTCGAAGGATTTGTTATAAAACTATCTCTGCAATAAGGTCACAAACCAGAAATGTTCCCTTCTCTAATGGCCTTTAAAACTTTTAACTTCTACATAATAAAAATCTTCAAAATGATGCATTTTTCAGATGTTAACAAACCATTTTGCTTGCTTTCTCTCTCTCCCTCCCCCGCTCCCATTTTCTGTGACTTACCAGGTACTTTTTGTGCTGCTTTGACACTAAGGCTGCCATTAAGACTTGATAGAGATGCCAACAGGCATGGTTTATTAGGATGGGGGACAGTTTCCATGGAGAACACAATCTGAGTAGTATGGACAGAAATTTTTTGAAAGCAGGAAATGGCTCTCCACATGTTTTCTTGAAATGAAAACTTCTGCACTCCATCACCATGTACTTTAGGTTTAGACAACTTTCCATGGTAACATTTGGAGACTGGAAGCTCATCTTTATTCACTGTAGGGTCTGAAAGAGTAGAGGTCTCTTTGCTATGTGCAAAGCCATGTGCACTTTTTATCTTCTTTAAAAAATGGTTCATCTGATCCAGTTTGGTAAAACTCAGGTTTGCTTTCAAAGGCTTTGATATATCCAAGTTGATGTCTGCTATAGAAGTGAAAAAGACATGAAAATTACTGAATTTCTCTTATTAAATACCCATTATGATGCCAGAATGTTATATTTCTTTTATTCATCACCTATTTTTTTTTTCCATGTAGTTAGCTAAATAGGAACATTCGCCTTTGACCACTTATGCCTATATTCCTGATTGTCTATTCCTGCTACAGCCAGGGACGTACACCTATAGCAAGTCCCTCCATTCCATCTTTGCTCTCATACCCCAATGCAAGCTGAAGCAGGCTTTCCCTTTAGTTACTTACCTGAAACTGGCATTCCTTTTCCCAAAGAAAAAGAACTTCCCTTTATTCCCAGAAAAATGTTTGACACAAACACTGATAGTAATCAACACTGATCCAACTGACTGAAGCAGCCTCCCTTACCATTCTCTAATCAAGTTAATGCAGAAAATATTTATTTCTCTTCTGTCACCTGCTGCAAACCACAAAAGTCCCTGCAACTTTTCCTACATTCTACATTGATAAGAGTTGAAATCTCTCACCCAAGTTTATATAGGTAGATTTCTTAAAATCTATAGTGCATTTCACAGGTAACATATACCAGACACTGTCCTTGTCACTTAGTTGTCTGACATTAAAACAAACTGGCCTTATTATTTGTTTTCATTTTCTTATTTCACCTTATACCACTTTTCCTCCTGCTTTTATTATTTTTGTTTATTTGGGGGGGGGGGGGGGTTACTGGGGATTGAACTCAGAGGCACTCAACTACTGAGTGACATCCCCAGCCCTATTTTTCATTTTATTTAGAGATGGGGTCTCACTGAGTTGTTTAGTACTTTGCTTTTGCTGAGGCTGGCTTTGAACTCACAATCCTCCTGCCTCAGCCTCCTAAGTTGCTGGGATTACAAATGTGTGCTACCATGCCTGGATTTTCTGTTTTTATTATAAGACACAAGACTTTAAGTATCATGAAGACAGAGCATGTCATACATCTTGCCTTCTATGAAAAACAGAGAACAATGTTAGAAGATGATAGCAACAACAGAAAACCCAAATTAACCTAAAATAGAAAGAAGATTCAGCTGTTATGGACCTGAAGCTGGGTGCTGTTTCTGAATTCATGACATGAAAACTTAAACCTAGGTGCCAGAAGTGCTCATCATGTAGCCAAAGAAACAAATTAGTGACTTGAAGTTGCCCAAATATCCACCTAAATCATAGTATTTCCCTGACTTCAGACTGGCATAGCATACACAGGACAGTATACAGAGGAGTTGCTAACTATTAGCTCAGCATGGACCCTCAACTCTTGCCCAATTTGTCTTCCTAGACTCAGCCCTTGAGTCACTTCCAGGAAATCTTTCTTGATCCCTGTTGCTGAGTGAGGTGCCTCTCATCACTGCTTTCAGAATATCCTGTGCATTTTTTTCTATCACTGGGCACTTATTTATATTATTGTCATAGTTATCTGCCTAAGTGTCTGTAATCGTTCAGTGAAATGTGAGCTCTTGAACATTAGAGGCTGTGCTACATCTTAGTATTCTGAGTACCTAAAATAGTTTCTTCTATTGTAATTAAATGAATGTTTAATAATGCAATGAAGGAAAAAAACCAAACAAATACAAAGGCCTGTTTTCCCTTTCTACTGAACTCTGAAGGGCTCATCAGATCAATTTATCTATTAACTACCTTTAGACCGCTATTTTCCCTTTGTTTTAGCTAATGGTGCACAATCCACCATATGACCCAAGTCAGAAATTTGACTTTTTGACTCTTCATTTCACTTCCTCGTTCCCTGGTCCCAGTCCAATCAATGAATAAGTTCTGTCAATTTTATTTCCAAAACACTGCTTGAATATAATCTCCTGTCTTTAGCATTCCAGCTACTCTTATTTTCCTCCTCTAGGCCTCTCTTTGTTCAGCTATTATAAAGCCTCCTAAATAGTTTTTCCTGTCTAAACCCATTCCCTTTAGTTCAGTCTCCAGAGTCATTTCCAAATGATTTATTTTCAATGCGATCCTGATTGGTTCACTCCTATTTAAACTCTTTACTGGTTCCTCTTCATCTAGAAAATAAAAGACCAACTTCCTTAGGAAGAGAGAAAAGGTTTTGCCTTTATTGGCAGTTATTACCTGACTTCCCCTTTAAAAGTTCCAGAAGTATTAGAATTTATAAAACCTACTTCCCCCAAACTATGTCACATCACTAGGCCTTTACTCATGTATTTAATGTACTCCCCTGCTCCCCCCACAGATTTTTTTTTTTTTTGCCTAACTATTAATCTTCAGGATAATCCTCAGCATTTTCTCCAAGAAGTTAATCCACAAAGTTAGGTTAAGTGCCCCTGCCCCCTCAGAGCACTATAGCACCTGCACAAGTATCTTTATAGGAGATGATCTGTCCCATCAGTTAAGAAGAACTTAAATGCAAAGATTTTCCCTCAATTCTTAACCTTAAACTCAGCTCAAATCACATTTGGTCATTTTGTATTGAAGCACTCCAGAACATTCTAATGTGGTTCTAGGTAGGCAGAATTCTAACCAGGCACTTCCTTTACAATATTCCTGCCCCCTGATTATTGAATCAAACACTAATCTATGTACTGCTGTGCAATGAAGGGATGTTATGGTTGTGATTAAAGACCCAGGTCAGATATGGAGATTATCTGGTGGACCTGATCTAATTATGTAAACCTTTAAAAGGTACATGAAGGAGGTGAGGGGGGAAATCAGAGAGAGGTAAAATATGAGAAGGGCTCCATGATATGTAATTGTTGTGAAGATGCTGGGGGTCACATGAGATGAAATGGGTGAGCTGAGGGCAATTTCTGGACAATAGCTAACAAGGAATTGGGAACTTCAGTCCTACAACCATAAGGAACTGGATTATACAATGAATCAGAATGAATTTCAAAACAGATTCTGGCCAGAAGCTTCGAGATTAGTGCCTAGTCCAAATGACATACTGATTTTGGCATTCTGAGAGACCCTGAGTATAGAACCCAGTTGAACCCACTCTGTTTCCAATAAAGATGGAAACCTGTGCCTCTACTGGAGAGAATACAGCCATAAATTCTACATAGAACAACTATTTGAGAAAAAGTAAAGGGTAACAGGTAGACTGGGGAAGAATAGATTTCCAAATACCACCAAAATGGTATTTCTCATTTATCCTCCCCTCATCCCTAGTCTGGATCAATGGTGGCTCAAAATCCTGAGGTGGGCACTATGTGCATATAGAGGAACTATGAAGGGAAAATGTTTACTTTTGACTTCAAAAACTCTCTTAATGCTTAGAGAAACTACAGGAATTTTCCAGCTTTTTTTCTTCTTTCTTTTCTTATTATTTTCAAGCCCCGGAACAGAAGAGAATATTTTTCTATTCATTTTATGAGACCATCATTACTGATAGCAAATGTAAGATAATATAAGAAAACTATACACAAATATCCCTCATGAAGAAAGATATAAAAATCCTTAAAATACCGAGGAAATCAAATACAGAAAGATATAAAACTAATAATATATCAGAGCCAAGCAAGGTTTTTCTTGGGACTACAAGATTGGTTGAACCAGTGTAACGATATTAATAGCTTAAGGGAGAGAGGAGATATCTGTTGATACAGAAAAAGATACTTGTAAAATTCAATATCCACTCATTATAAGAACTCTTGACAAACTATGAATACAGGAGCACTTCCTTAACCTGAAAGAGGTCACATATGACAAAACTACAACTAACATCATGATTATGAAAAATTGAATGCCTTCCCCTATGATCTAAAAGAAGGCAAGGAGTTCCATTCCCATTGCTCATATTGAATATAATACTGAAAATCACAGCCAGTGAAATAAGGCAGCAAAAAGAAATAAAAAGCATATATACAGGAAAGGAAGAAATAAAACAATGCTTATTTGCAGATGACATCATTTTACACGTAAAAAAACTCAATAGGAATCTACAGAAATTTGGTAGAAGCTAATGAGGGACTCTGCTAAAGTTTTAACGCCAGCACACAAAACCCAACTGAATTTCTATATACTAACAATGAGCAGATGGAATAAAAAACTTAAAATCTAGCATTTATAATAGCTCTAAATAAAAGGAATATTTAAATGTAAATGTGATAAAATGCAAAGAATCTGTTGGTTAGCCAGGTGCAATGGCATACACCTATAAACCCAGCAACTCCGGAGGCTGGGACATGAAAATATCAAGTTGAAGGCCAGCTTCAGCAACTTAGTGAGACCCTGTCTCAAAATAAAAATACAAAGGGTTGGGTATGTGGCTACCAATTAAGTATCCCTGCATTAAATCCCCAGCACAAAAAGAAAGAAAGGAAGGAAGGAAGGAAAGAAGGAAGGAAGGAAGGAAGGAAGGAAGGAAGGAAAGAATCTGTATATAAAAAACTACAACATTGACAAAAAAACAATTAGGGGGTGGGGATACCTCAACAATAGAATGAATACTTAGCATAAACAAAGTCCTGCGTCCAACTAAAAACTAATAAATAAATAACAAAATTAACATAATGGACAGATGTACCATACATAAAACATGTTCATGAACTAGAAAATTCAACATAAATAAAGATATCTGTTCTGGGCATGGTGGCATACACCTGTTATCCAAGCAACTCAGGAAAAATGTTTATTAAGCATTTGTTTTGTTTCACAAATTTGAACAGTGAATTGTAATGTTAACCTTCTGTGGTGCTGGTATCTGAATGACCCTTTCTCAGACCAGTGATGTAGTAGAAGGATTACTTACTTCTTCAGGCACTTTAGTGACTTGATTTATCTTTTCTGTGGGGTCATGCCAAACTGTTCTATATGCATCAAACCTTTATTTAATCTTTGAATGATCTTAAATTTGGGATTACAAATAAAATTTCTCAATCATTTGGCAGTAAATGATGAAAGTTTTTAGAAAGTCAAAAATCCAGTATAGCTATATGTGGCCTAAGATGTTAATTTTTAATAAGAAATGAAATTATTACTTAAAACATTTAGATAATTAAACTT